GAAAGAGGCTTTCTATTAAAAACTGGTGCAGGGGGAATGTTAGAACATGGTAAAATATTACATAAGAACACAATATAGGAAATAGCATTTAGGAAGGATACAAAAAGCATATACTCACTGTCTCACTCCAAGAGGGTGTTTTGTTTTCTAGTTAAATTATGCTTTACTTGATATAAACGTTTTACTTGATAATTGTACTCTCAATTGGCGTTTTACTTGATAATTGTACTCTCAATTGGCTAAAACCAATTGTTGAGATGGATGTACTGCAACGTTGTATTTGGTAATTGAAAAGATAAATGCATGACATGTTTGTTACAAAAGTAAATGTTCTTCTGTTTTATTTCGTAACTCATTGGTGTGTGACAAAACGAAAAAGGAAAAATATATATATATATTTTTTTATTAACTCTTTGGTCAAAGAAAATAATAGTAACACTTGATAAGCTTTGGGGGATATATATATGTATATCTCGCTGGGTATATCCATTCTCGGGTTTAGGGTTTGTGTTCTGATTGTTGTTTTTCTTTGTAAAGTATGAATTTGATCAAAGGAAAGAGTACTTTAGAGGCTATTAACATCCTCAAGAACCAATTAAACACTCTCCACAACGAAGTTGAAGTGTTGGGTGACCTAACGAATGAATTGCCTTTCATCACGTCTTTGGTGAGAGATGCAGAATCGAAGCTCACATCGTTGCTTGATGCACAAGAAAAAAATGTCAGAGATACTTGCAAGGAATTCGGTTTGTCTAACCCTGACAACTTAGCCATGCTCCAACATTACACACAACAACTTCCTTCGGCCTTTAGAGTGTCTCGAACAGCTGTTGTCATTCGTCCTCGTGGGGCTCGCGCACCGGGGCTTCCAAGAGATTTGGTGGAGGAGATACTCTGTCGTGTTCCGGCAACATCTCTGAAACGATTACGACCAACTTGCAAAGAATGGAACCGTTTATTCAAACATGATTCGAGATTCGCAAGAAAACACTCTGATCAAGCCGCGAAGGAGTTTGAGGTTCTCAGGTTGACAAATCAATGCAGGATTTGTCAGATGAGAGTCAATCTCCATGAAGTGTTCCATCTGTAGAGCTATAAAGAGAGCTTAGCCTAATCGATCCTCATTCTAATAATTCAGCAGCTGATCAGTTCGAGATATATCAAGTCTTTCACTGCGACGGCTTATTGTTATGCACCTCTTACAAAGACGAATCTAGACTCGTGGTTTGAACCCGTGTACTGGTGAAACCAAGTTAATCAGAACCATCAATCGTAGAAACTACACCCATGTTCTCGGATACTGCCAAGACAAGAGATATAGCAATAAGAGCTACAAAATATTGAGCTCTTGTTATGGTAGCAGCAAAGACTCGGAAATCTACGATTTTAGCTCTGATTCATGGAGGACTCTTGATCATCATGATGTCGCTCCAGGCTGGTCCATTGGATACTATAGACGCTGCTTGTCTTTGAAGGGGAAGACTTGCTGGTTTGCTAAAGATAGTACAAAAACACACCTCTAATTGCACAAATTTGATTTTTCAACAGAGAAATCATCTCTACTTGTGCCTCTTCCTTGTCAGTTTGATCGTTATGAAAATTTGAGTCTTTCCGTTGTTAGAGAAGAGAAGCTTTTGGTGTTATTACAACACGATCATACATCCAAGACTGAGGTATGGCTGGCAAATAAGATTGATGAGACTAATGTGGTGTCGTGGAGCAAATTCTTGGTATTGGATTTGAACAGTTGTGATGTTATAATTTCCTGTGATGCAATTTTCTTGCTCGATGAGGAGAAGAAAGTCATTGTGTGTAGTAGTAGATGTATTGACCTCGACGAGAAGAAGATCATGAGCATGATATACGTTCTTGGGGAGAATAATCAAGTCACGCAAGTGGATTTTGGTGTTAATAGAACGGATGCATGTTGGCCAAGTATTCTTAGTTATGTTCCAAGCTTGGCTCAAATCAATGGAGCTGGAGGCAAAAGGAAAAGAGCTGACTAAACAAGCTCTTCATTAAGATGTGGTATTATCATATGTTTCATCATCTATCTAGTGTTCCTTGCTTTAACACAGTTTTTAAGTTGTTTATTAAAATCATGTCTCCTGCAGCACCATGTCTAAGGTCTAAGGAGGAGAGAGAGAGAGTAATTCATACCATGTTTCAGTTTCAAGCTTCTCTATAACGACAAGTAATTCATACCACATATGTACAAAGTTTTCTCTTTGTTTCTGCTTTGGGTTTTCTTTTTTATGGAAGTTACAACTAAGAAAAATCAATGTCAATTATGTTAATAATATCCAGTAGACTAAGATGCACCTCTGTATAAAGTCATTGAGCTTGATAAACAAACGTTGTGTTTTCTTTAGCAAACATATAAACCTTTCCCTTCAAAGACACTTTGGGACAATTTAGAGAGGAGACAAGAAACTACTCTTGTCTCTTGGCCCTTTTTTAGTTCTCTTTCGCTCGTTTTGCCACACAAAAGTATGATAAACAAAGAAGAAAGTAATAATGCAAACCATCAGTCCCTACCAACATGCATGTGATTCACATTTCAGTATATTGAATTTCAATGCAATGAAGAGCAAGTAGCTGAAATTTGCACTTATCTTTGTTCATCTTTTTTATACAAATTTTGGCGACGATATTTTGATTCTCTGATAAAATGGTGTCCAAATAATCTGTCACATCTCTAACCATTATTTACTACGATATCTATAGTAAAAGGTCATAGCAAACAAAATTTCATAACATATTTTGGTTCAATGT